CTGTATGTGCTAAAAAGCACACCAAAAAGCTTCACAGCAAGTGTGTCTGCGACCACGATCTCACCTAGAGAAAGCCATGACCACGTGTCAGAGCGGGGAAGATGGCCGCGGGTCGTGTTCGTCACCCGATGCGGAGTTTTCGAACGGAAGCAACATTTTGTGAATGCTGCTGTTCGCGAACCGAATTGTTCGTGAACAGAAGCGTTCGTGAACTGAGGTATTAGTGTACTTTACTGAGATAGGCCATAATAACAGAATCTTGCAAGTCTCATTTTGCTGTGCCTTCCCTTCTTCTTCTACCCCAATAAATCAGGGAGACGTTTGCCTGAGTTGCTTCTGAATATTATCTTGCTTCCCAGGACTTAAAGAATGCTTCAGCCCACTTTGCCTAAATAACAGTTCTTGCATATTTCAGTCAAGGTCACCTCCCTTACTCTCTAACTGAAGCCAATTAGATCAGTTTTCCCCCCTGAAATAATTGATGAAGAAAGCACCATGCTTTTCTGACTGAAAATACATTATATTTCAAAAACTTGTAAGAGTGAAAATTAAACTCTTTTTCAAAATCAAGACTAAATTATTTTCACTTTGATCATGAAAAGTGACCTGAAATGTGTGAGAACTACTTGCAGCTGACTAGTGTTTTGTCAGTGACCAGTTTAATTCAAAGAATGAAAGCTTCTTTTCTTGTCTACAAATTTCTGTATGTGGCATGTTTTTTGTGCATGTGTGTGTAGATTAGATTTGTGCCTAGTGATCATTCAGTGCTCTTGTATTACTTACATAGACTAATCTTGGATGTCATCATCGCACAGAGAGTGATTCTAATAACATTTTGCATTGCTCCAAGAAGCATGTCCTTCTGCTGACTTTAATATTGAACTTCTAACCTTGGTTGCATTTTTAAACATGCTGAAACTACCTTCACAGGAAGTGTTACATGTCATGTGAATAACACATATGAATAACAATAACAAAATGAAAAAGTTGTTTATAAATAGTCTGGAGTGGTGAGTGGTGAGATTAAAAAACTTGCTGATCATTTCAAACTTTTCTGGGTAGTAAAATCAAGAGGGACTGCCTATCATTCCAAAGCTCTTGCTCCAGGCTGGTGAATAGTCTCAAAATGGCAAATGCAGTTCAGTATAAGAAAGTGCAGATTGATGTACATGGGTATACAAAATCCATATTTCACGTGTACATTAAAGGGTTTTGAGTTGGAAGTGACCAGAAAAAGTGCTCAGGAAAAGGATTCTGAAGCAGTGCTGAAGGCCATCCCATCAAGTTACAGCATGTTTTAGCACAATTCACAGCACAATTTAGCACAATTCAAATGAAGACCTTTTCAGGCTGGAAGGGAGGCAAGGCTGCTGCTGCTGCTGAAATAGGGGTGGAGGTTTGCCATTAACAGCTCAGTATTATCTGCTAAAAGGACACATTGCTGATTAGAACTACATGAGGGCAACTTCAGGGCTATAAACAGTGTATCCTTGAAAAGGAGAAAAAGCTATTTCTGGCGGCAGGAACTGAACCTTGTAGTTTAAAAAGTGTGTAATTATTGTACAATACCAAAACATCAGAATGAAAATAATCCTTCCTAGACAGGAGAAGAAAGGGAACAACTCCTAATTTAGACTGGCAGTAATACCAGTGCAAATTTGTTAGAACCAATATGTACTGCAGTGGTTAAGTTGTTGACTAAGACTGGGGAGACCCAATGATCAAGTTCTCTCTCAGCCACAGTATCTCTCTCTCTCTCTCTCACACACACACACACACACACAAAACCTACCATACCTCACAGGTATGGGGATTATGAGCCTTTTGAAAGTTATTTTGTATCTGTGCCCTCCTAGAAACAAAGCCCAACATTGCAGTTGAGCATCTGCTATAAGTAGAATCCCTTTTTGTAGACTCAGATTGACAGTAGTGTCTGATGATCAGTGATGAGGGTAGATTCCCTTCTGTACAAATAGTGCTTCATACATTTAGCTCCCCAAACTAAACTTAGTGCATTTTTTCTCTGCAGCTGTGAGTGAGCATTATGCAAAAGCTATTGGGCGTTCACTGCTGCCTTTCCTAAAGTATAACATAACTGCTTCAGTGCCATATTGTGAGGCATCACAAGCCACTTTCACTGGTAAGTGTGGGTTATAATCTGTGAGCCCTGTACCTGATCGCATCATTTTCTTTGCTTCCATGAAAGTTTGTTCACACTATTATGTCCATTACATGCCCTCTCCACTTGTAGTAAAGTGTTCAAGGGGTGGCACAAATTTAGCACAGTGGCTAAATTTGGCAGGAAACTCTTATAATAATTAATGAACACTAAACAAGATTGTAGCTGTGACGTATATTGCAGCCTTGGGGCATTCATAACTGCTTAAGCTTTCTCTGCACATTTATTTAGGTCATGTGCATCAATGGTATAATTGCAATATATAATACTAGCTTTAGAGAACTCATATTTGTCACATTAAGTTCTAAGGTTTTAGTCATCCCATCTCTACAAGCACTGTCTTGAAATTTGCAGATGCACCCTATCATTTTGTTCAGTCAGAGGACATCTAAATAGCACTGGGTGTCTTGAGGACACTCCTGTAGCACTTAGTCCGTTGCTCTCTTCCAAAGTGCTGGGACAAATGCTATTTCAAAAATAATTCTATTACAATAATGTAGTGGGTATTTATAGTGAGAAACACCTTGGAATCTTCCTCCATTTCCATCTGTAAATAAGTCTTTGCTAGGTCTATTTTGTTGAAATGTCCCCCAGTGAGCTTAATATAAATTTTCTCAATTCTAGGCAAGGGGTATTGCTCAGCCTCTCATAGTGGATTAATTATAGCTTTAAAATCACTACAGATCATAACAGTTCTGTTCTTTTTAGCAATTGGAAACACGTACGTAGGCCATTGGATCTAATCAACTTTTGAAATAATTCCCTCAGCTATCCTATCCAGCTCAGTGCGTACCTTTTTGTGCATAGTTTATGGAACTGGGCATGTTTTGTGAAACTTGGATGTGGCATTTTTGTGTAACACTATTCTACCATTGATGTACTTGAGACAGGCGCAGCATCATCCAATGTGGTTTTCAGCTTACTCTTGGTGATAGGAAGTGAAGCAGGCAGGCTGTTGATTGATTCCAATCCAACAGCAGTTTTTTCAGCAACAATGACCCCAGAGTGTTGATCCACCTGCTTTCACATGTAAGTCCAGCATACTTTATACATTACATTTACAGATATCACTCCAATGGGAATTATCTTTTCTCCAGCATGCATTTTTAATTGTATTTGTGATTGCTTTAATATTTCAGTATGTCTGAAATGCTGTTCAAATTCATGCTGTAATATAACTGATACAGCAGAACTGGAGTCCAATTGTACTGATATGTTTTTGCTATTCACTTCTTTCATGAGTCATATTGCTGGTCTTCAGTCATTTTTTATTATATAAATTAACAGGTTAATCAGTTCTGTTTAATTTTTATTATCAAATTCTTCATCTATAGCACTCCTCTTAAAGAAATGGCTTTGTTGCTTCTTTTTAGCACATAGTTTGAGTTTACCTTGAGTGATAGGCTCTTTGGCTCTGTCCCACTATATTGCATTTCCTGCAGGTTTCTCCTTTAAATCTGCATTGAGCTGGTGATGTGAACCTGTGCTTCAATAATAGCACAGTTCATTTTGAACTGTTACTCTCCGTTTGTATTATATTGCAAGGTTACTCACATCTGCTTCCATTCCTGACTGCAGGTCTATAAAACTCTGGCAGGAGTTTTCATGAGAAATAGCCATTTCAAATACTGTCTTAAGTCTGCCTCTGTTAAAAGTCTTTTTTTAAAAATGCTTCCTTTCAGAATTCCATGATTATGAATCTCTCAATGCATCATTTAGCCTTTCACCAAATTTGCTGCAATGAACTCTCCCTCTTTCAGTTAGTGCTTATGAAACTTGAAATGCTCTGCAAGTAATAAAGGGTTTGGCACCAAATGCCCCTGCATTATTTTTACCAATTCTGCAAAATTGAATTGCTAGGAGTTTTGTGCTCAGTTAAACTTCTTAACAAGCAGTGTGCTTATTCATTTGCCTCAAAGAACTGTTAAAGTCTCCCTATATATAATGTCCAGTCATCTATGGCACTAGCAAAGGCATTAATCTTCCCAATAAAGCTAGCCATCCTGCTATGCTCTTTTCCCTTTGTCTTTACTCACTGTGACCAGTTCATTACTATTCTTCCTGTCTTTTTTTGGTTTTACTGTCTTTTCTCCCCTTCCAGAGATAAGGTGAGGCTTGAGAGCCTTTTTAAAAAAATGATTCCCTTTTATCACCATGGTTATATCTTTCCACTTAATAATCAAATGAAAGACACAAGAGTCAGGATTAACTTTTGCTGCTACTTGCTTTGCTGACATTTCTAGAAGAACCATCTCTAGTGAACCTGCAAAAATTGCAACATAGATAGGTAATCAAGATTGCAGGTATACTTAAGTCCAGCATATTGTTCTTGCTTGGTCCATCAGATGCCTGTGGGAAGCCCAAAAGCAGGACATGTGTATTAGAATTCATTTACTAATTTTCTTTTTCAAACAGGGGCAGGCAGCTTTTGAAAGGAAACTAATGGCAATTTAAAGCCACCTTGAATAGTAGCCAGTTCTAGCTGTTTTCTCAATCCTAGCTGTTGGCCATCATTGCATTGTGGTTACAAATTCCAGAGTTTAATTATATGCTGTGGGGAAAAAATACTTCCTTTTGTCTGTCTTGCATCTCCCACCACTCAGCTTCATTCAATAACCCTGGGATCTACCCAGGAATATAGTATTATGAATGATGGAAATAAATACCCCACTTTTCCATACATAATTTTGTACATGTACTTAATGTCCTCCCTTACTTTTTTTTTCTTCCTAAGTTAAAAAAAATGAACATTCTAATTTTTCCTCATAGGATGCTGCTGAAGCCCTTTATGAGGTATGGTGGCCAGAACATGATATATCCTGTGTTCTATGGTGTATTTGTACCCTAGGTATGTATGAAAATGTCACTACCTCATGTCCATTATCTCTCTCCTTATCAATCACAGACAGCTTCAACACCGTCAGCGTATATGTGAAGCGGGGGCATCCACAGGGGAAGCTTAAAACAGGCAAGATGACAGACATGGCATCATGATGCAAGCCCTGTTCCTTTGGTACACGTGCCATACACATGTACAAAGAGGCTTGTACTGCAATGCCATATGTACTATCTTGCCTAATTTGACACCCACCCACCCTGTGGCTGCTGCTGTTTTTTGCAAGAGCGTGCATAATTTCACACTTAAGGTTAAGCCCACAGATACACCAAACTGAAATCAAACTTAATCGCATTACAAAGCCATTACTACGGTTTACAAATTATAGCTCTGAATCATGTATTAACTAAGCAGCTATTTTAATCTTAAAATATTGTGCTAAATCAGCCTCTGCAGCTTATTCTACAAATCATAGTTAATATAAACCATGGATTAATGAGATGTCTGAACCCTGCTGTTGACATTTTTCTTCCATGACAATGACCCTAAGAACTTTGAATTAAAAAATACATATGCTAAGCCAGTCTCCTTATGATGACCAATTTAGTCATCCTGAGATGATGGACATTCTCAGCCTAAGCTGTTGGTGATGGGCGAGCAGCAGAAGAAGGCAGAGATCTTGGGAAGTGTAAAAACACCTCCTTTGATATATTTGGATCATCTTTAATAACTGACATATGTGACTCAACTGTAGGCAATTGGCAAATAATATTGCTATGCTGACAGGCTCCACATGCTACCTAGCAGAATACCATATGTAAAGCACTTACACAAATAAGTGGTTTCGCACTACATGCTGCTAACTCAAATCAAGCTACTCTGCAGGAAGAGCAGCTGTTTATATTAATTCTCTGTAGCATGACTGTGCTTTTATCCCAATGATCCTGGGTAACTGCTCCATGTGCATAAGCAAAATGCATAGCAATAAAAATGATCTTCCATTGCAACTGATGTGTTCAAGCTAGGGGGTACAATTGGGCAATTGAAGCCCTGCCCTTTTTGCCTGTATGGAGTATGTATGATACACATTTTAAAAGGGCACGGTTTTGATTGCCTTGTCTTGCCTGCCATTTTGAAGTCAGTATCTATCATTGTGGATCCCCCTGATGTGGGTCCTTCTGTATAACGTGGCTTCCAAATATCTGTTTTTTAAAAACCCACACGTTTCTGGTTCTCAGGCTTTTGATATATGCTGGATATTTGCTAAAGACTCAACTAAGGATGCTACTCCTTGGCTTTTGTTGAATCATAAATGCTTGGAGCAGCTAGATAAAAAGGCAGAAACAGCAGTAGGACTGCAGGGTTGTGGGTTCAGCAGATACCTGATGATGTTGTCTCCTGATATTGAAGTTCTGCAATCAAGGAAGGAGCAGAGTCGTGTCTCAGTCAGAATCTGGTTCAAATTCAATCACAGCATAAAACTTTCTGGATCTCTTTAGAGAACTATGTGGTATTTTTTAGTTACATTGACTGCCAGGAGATACCACATTATCAGTTTCATCCGTATTGGAAATCACCAAATACAGGTAGCCAGTTGTTATTCAGCAGGGTTCAAACCCTCTATTGGGAATTGAACTCACAGACCTTTGCGCTTTAGATAAGTGCACTATATACAGCACATTAGCTTTAGGAGCTGTCTAGGTCCTGGTGCTCAGAAGCTGCAGGAAGAGATATCTAGAAATTCCATACATGGGGGCCTAGCATAATATCTGTATTTCTCTGCTCTGAGAGCTTAAAGGAAGGTGGACTATATATACCATTCTGAGAGTTTCTAGGGACCTATGCAATGTAAATTAAATGAGCCCAGCCTAAATGAGACAACTTTTAGTCAAGTGTGTGCATCTGGAATTTTGAGTGCTTATAGCATTGGACTACTGTAGAACCAAGGAAGATCCAGGTTCAAGATCACTGGATGATTTTTGGCAAGTCACTATTTCTCAAATGATCCCACCTCACACTTCATTTTAAGGAATACATATACAATACAGAATACCTACACTGCAGTATTCTGCTGCAGTTTTGCTGTATGTAAGGTTGCTGCATTCCTTAGAATAAAGGAAAACACTCAAATTATTCTGGACTCTGAATAAAATTATTTCTATAAATGCAGAAGTGAATCACAGTTATTCCAGTGGGTGAAAGACAGGAGAAGAATGTTGGCTGGAAAGAGTTTCTTCTGAAAATGTAAGTTGTATTTTAGAGCTTCAGAATTCCCTTCTTTACAATATTGCAACCTCCTATGAATGCACATCAATTGCATTCCTTTCTTCTTTGAAGAAACCCATTTTCTGCAATGAAATTGGAAACAAGCTGCAATTTAAGATGTGCTTCCAGGCAATATAAATCATGACTTTATTTCCTGAATGGCCGATACAGTTTCATTGCACCTAAAGGAACATGGGATTTATTTCTCAAGTGTGTAAGAATAAAGAGGGGAAAACAGTGGTCCACAAAATATGATTATATATATATATATATATATTTGGTTAAAAGGTAGCTCCTTTAGAGAATCGTTTCCCGAAACTCTAGTCATACTGTTTTGTTCTTTACTGATAGACTGCTGGGTATGCAGATCTTATAAACTAGTAAAACCTGAAAGAGTTTCGTCCTAGATTACAGGTGAAGGCTGCAAGTGAAATAGCTTGACATGAGCTGGCTTTGCATGATGCACTTACACATGGGTAATTTAGTCCAATGTTTTAGATATACACAACATCTTGTACTGTAAACAAACCATATGGACTGGTTTAGCACAACTTGCTAATATGTGATGGGTTAGCTCGTGTCTCGTGCATCAGAATCGTTCACGCTCTCTTTGGAGTTCAGGTTGCTGTCTTATGTCTAGCTGGCTAACAAAAATTCTCCACAGTTTTTATAGATGGGAGTTTTTTCAGAGTTTTGCCTGGAAATATCTGGTCTGGACTGTTCTTTCATCCATATTATCTACTCAAGGTGCTTTTAATATGGTATTTGCTGGGCTTCCTACCTCAGCTGAATGTTCATGTTTTAATTGGGTTCTTTTAATTAAATAATATTAATAAATGGAAAGCAAAGTGCCAGCATTTATGATCAGCCTCCTCACATAAGGCCCATAGGAATTCTTAGGAAATGAAAATGGCAGGAAGTCTACTAATTTAGAAACATGCTAACCTGCCCAGAAAAATCCAAGAAAAAAGCAAGCTTAGAATAGTAAGGAAGTATTGGTGGGCTAGAGAGCAGCCTTGCCATTTTGCCTTCTAATAAGGGATGTTTTGTAACTGGCAATGCCCACCACAGCAGCCAATTTGTAAAACTGCCCATAACATGTTATCATAATACCAAATATACCCATCAGACCAATCAGTTGAAATGCAATCTCTTGTTTTCAAAGTCTGGAGTCCCTCAACTGCTGAATTATTAAACAATTTTGTGCAGAAAATGAAAGAAAATCCATTAGTTAAGGAGGAAATGAATTGAATATCCTGCCAATACCACCTCTGGTGTTATAATTTCATTGCCCTGCCTACTGCAGCAGTAGCAGCAGCAGCAGCAGCAGCAACAACAACAGTAATACAGCAACAACAACAACAGTAATACAGCAAGTGTGGTGATGTAGTAAAGTTGTTGGACTAGGAGCAGGGAGACCAACCTATTCCCTCAGCAATGGAAGCTCGTTGGGTAACTTTGGGCCAGCTATTCCCTCTCAGCCCAACTGACCTCATAGAGTTGTTGTTGTGGGGGAAAATAGGAAGAAAGAATGCTGTGTATGTTGCCTTGAGCCCCTGAATGAAAAGCAGAAAAGCAGAATATGAATCAAATGAGTAAATAAATTATCACGATGGGGTTCCTATGATAAAATGATATAAAATACTACTCAAAAAGGATGTAATCTATAACTGCAGGTCCTTCCCTGCTCTCCAAAACTTTGGACACGGCCCCCTGAACAACTTTAAAACTTGCTACAAAATTATAATTCTTAATATATAGGAAAGGAAATTGTGAAGTACATGTGAAGAAGCTGTATGCATAGTGTTCATTAAATTAAATCAAACCAATGTTGATATTTGTCTGGGCCCCACTAAGTTCTTTGTCTTGGCCAGCCCATTTGGAGTACCAGCCCCAGCATACTCAACGTCCAAGTAAGGCTTTTGTGCCAAAACAGGGACTCACTCCCATCTTATACATAAAGAGGTGATCCTGGAACAATTGCCCAAGGCAGAGATCCCAATAGGTAGGATGCAGCAATGAGAAAAGGCCAAACCTGGGTCATTGCCCTCCCACTATAGACAGTACTCATTTGCAGTACCGTACCTTCTGGAAATTCATGGCTAGGACACTCTGCCACATTAGTTCCCAACGACTGGTCTTAAGAAACATACTAGCAAATGGTATTAACAAGTCATATTAATAATGAAGGTACTATGTAGCCATCAGGATTAACAGCCATTGATAGCCTCATTCTCCATAATTAACTACACTGGAGCCAGTTCAAGACTGTGCTTATATGCCCATTCAAATGTGAGTGAATGCAGCAATCAAGTAAAAGTAGATTAATTATATTAATCTCCTTGGCATCAACAAAGTTTGAAATGCCCTTTCTGTGATTTGCCAGATTCCCAACATAGACGATTACTGATTTTTATTAAAAGTATTTATACCTAACCCTTCAGTCCAAAAGATTGCCAGAGTAATAAAAAGAATAATATAAATTAGCCATTCTGCTTTTAGGCTTAATGTTATAAAAAGTAAGAATACAGAAGGAGAAATAGATGGAGAAGATAAAGGAAAATGGAATTAGTCAAGGAACCAGTACTTGATGGCAAACTCTTCCAGTAATGGCCAGCCATGGTAGAAGTGAGTGATTCAGGGAGGTCAGATGACTCCATCATTTCTGGACACTTCTTGTCCTTCCTTGCTGGGCAGTAAGTTACATTGGGCACCATGAGGAAAGGCCCTTAGCTCAGCTGGTCACAGTCGCACTATAAGGGAATGGCAACCCTTTGCTTCATCTCCCCATCTCCAGCTTTCAGTTCAAAGAGCTCTGGACAATGAATCCCCTGTGGTACCTGCCCTTTACATTTGGTGGAGTAGCACTGCAATACTGGGTGAGTCTAAACACTTTTTAAATTTCCCACAGTACCCCAGGAAGATGATAGGTTGGGACATTATGGGAGATTAAAAGGGTGTCTCCAGTCAGCTACATCTCTCTCTCTCTCTCTCTCTCTCTCTCTCTCTCACACACACACACACACACACACTCATTCACATACAACTGAATATTTAATTTTCTGCTGAGCAATGGTCAGCATAGTTTTTCTGCTCTATTAAATTCCTGTCCTGACATCATGATAAGGGACATAATTTGGGCCAAATTGCTCTAACTGTGTGCCTCATTCAATGTTAGACAGGTTGGGGGTACCCGTGTAGGCTCCTAAAGCCATGGAAAACACTGTGAAGAGCTTCTGATGGAAGGAAGGGAATCTTATAAACAACATGATCTGTAATTTAGACCTATTTGCATAGTTCAAACTATTTGGGAAACCACTGACAGTTGGGTTACAAATGGCAGGACATTTAGAGAGTTTTGTATCTTTTCCAGATAAAAATCTGTAAAACCTCTGATATGTGTCAGATTTACTGTCAAAGAAGCAGATTATTCCTGGTTCTTCCAAAACTATGTCTACATCAATATTATCAGCTCAAACTTGTGTTACTCTTCGGTCGTTTCAGAGCCAAAATGCTGGAATTTTGGTACCATTAAGCTTCATTTCTCTTTGGTTGCACATTTTGTAGTGCAGAACCTAATTACTGCCCCTGAGCCACCATTTCATCCAGAGCAAACTTCAAGGCTAGTAATCCAGACTGGGATACCCATACCATAGTACAAGGATGTATCCCCATGTTTGTGATGGAGAACTACAGTTTGCTTCTGAAGCTGGGCAGCACAACTGAGCAGGTTGTGTATGTACAAACTGAGTAGTATTATTGTCTTTGTTTTTCAGTTGTTTTATAGTTAACTTTTGGGAAATGGGGATTTGGAGAAATAGTCCAGTTTGCTTCCATGTTCTTTTCTCATCAACTGAAATATAAAACCAAGGAGCTTGGTAGGCCATATAATCCAGCTCTGGCCAAAAAAATAGAGCACCTGCCTGATACATGTCTATCTAGCCAATGCCTGAAGATGTCCAGGGAAGGAAACTTACAGTATGCTACTTTACATTTGGGGCCATTATTGAGCTGCTCTTATTGCATTTCTCCTAATGTTTAACCAAAATCTAATTTAAATCAGCGAGATCGAATCCAACCCTTATAAACGGTAGACGTAGGATGGTGTTCCTTTTCCTCTCCCCAGCCTTTTCTTTTGGGTCTTATCTTGTTAAGATGTAAGCCAGAGAACAGATTGTCTCATTTTATCAGTCTATAAGCCCTTTGGGGAATCTGTCAAGTTGAATTCAGAGGGATTGTGTGAATGTTTGCAGCCCAAAAGAACAAATTATCCTGTGACACCTTAAAGATTAAGCGATGTATTATTGCATAAGTGTTTGTGGATAATTAGATTAATGGAGTATATTCCTGAGAAAAGTGCATGATAGACACATTCAGATATATTTGTCAAGAGCGGAGGGAGAAAAAGAGGAGAAATGTAAGTGCGAGAAACAGGAAAGGTAGTGACCATTACAGTAATGTGACACAGGCATTCTGGCATCAGTGAGGCAGATAATAACAAATCTTAGTCTCAGTTTATTCCATGAGATGTTAAAACTTTTGATGAATTTGAGCTTAGTGTTTTCCTGATGAATTTGTTCTTTGTAATTCTTTTTTTTTTAGGGTTTCTCATCTTAAGAATAATATCAAAGTGTCCAGGAAAGTTGAAACCTTACCATCATAACTGAATTTTGGCTTGCCATTTCTGAAACAGCCCTATCTGCAACCTGTTTTAAAACCAGCATAATATACAGCCAGTTGCTGGGGTCAATATTTAGCCTCATGCCATGAAAAACTATTGTTGTTGTTGTTGTTTAGTCGTTAAGTCGTGTCCGACTCTTCGTGACCCCATGAAC